ACAGCTTGTATAACAGTGTAAATGTGCTGTCCCCTCAAAAAACAGAACACACAGCCATTAATGTCTAAACTGCTGGAAAATAATGGTGGCCACACAAAATATTGACACTTTGTGTCCAATTTGGATATTGTCACTTAGGGGGTGTATGCACTTTTGTTGCCAGCGGTTTAGACATTAATAGCTGTGTGCTGTGTTATTTTGAGGGGACAGCACATTTACACTGTTATACAAGCTGTACACTCACTGCTTTACATTATAGCCAAGAGTAATTTCTTCAGTGTTGTCACGTGAAAAGATATACTACAATATATATGAAATGTGAGGGGGTGTACTCACTTCTGTGATATACTGTATATGGTTTACTTTGACGTAACACTGAAACAATCAAACCACATAGTTGGAATGTGTATAAAGCAACGCTATCCTTGGTAATTCTGTGCTGGCATTTGCAGAAACCAGTGGTCTCCAACCTTTTTGGGACTGTGGACTGGCTTAGCCTCTGAAGGAGGCGGGGTACCCCTCCACGCTTGCGCAGGTGCGCTCTCTCCCTCTTGGGCACATGTGCAAAGCGGTGGGGGAGTGCACATATGCCCACCAGTGCCAGCATGAGCACTCCTCCACCCCTTTGCACATGCGCAGGAGCGCCTGCACGCCCGCCTGCACACCCCTTTGTGTAGGTGCTTGGGCACATGTGTGAAGGGATAGGAGAGTGCTCACGCCGGCGCTGGCATGCATGCGTGTGCACAAAGCAGCTGTGGGGAGGGGAGTGCATGCGGGGTGGGTGGGAGGTTTGTCTTCACGGCCCAGTCTGGCTCAGGCCACAGACCGGCACCGGGTTGCGGACCGGGGGTTGACGACCTCTTTTTTAAACAACACAGTTTCTAAAAGACTATTTAATATTGAAAAAGGCGGATGTTAGCACACAAAAAACAACAACCAGTCAAGTAAGTCAAAATCTGACTCAATTGTCTTAATTATTATGAATACAGTACCAAGGAGATTGTGGGAAGTTGTTATTATGGAATTTCAATTACTGTGTTAATTAAAGCAGGGGAAATGTCAACCCATATTATGGAGCATTTGTTTTTATTTATGATGAAGAAACAACGAAGAGCAAACATTAGAAACTTTTCAACCACGTTCCAGGATGTTTGGGTTTTTTAACTATTTTGCCACAGGGAGTAAATGTGTCAAATAACCCACAGCATATATTTCAAAGAAATCTAGAGCATGTTTAGCCTTGAGAAAAGAAGACTGAGGAGGGATAGGATAACACTTTTCAAATACTTGAAAGGTAATCATAGAGAAGAGGAGGGCCTGGATCTGTTCTCAGTTATCCCAGAGTTCAGGACACATAATAATGGGCTCAAGCTACAGGAAATGAGATTTAGGCTGAATATCAGGAAAAACTTCTTAACTGTTAGAGCAGTATGACAATGGAACCAATGACCTCAGGAAGTGGTGAGAGCTCTAATGCTGGAAGCATTCAAGAGAAAATTGGGCAACCATCTGTCAGATCTGCTTTAATTTGGATTCCTGCATTGAGCAAGGGGGTTAGACTTAATGGCCTCATAGGCCCCTTCCAACTCAATGATTCTATGATTCTATAATTCTACAGTAGAACTAAGAATCCATTTTTACATATTGGCAAAATGCTTCATATTACTATCCTACATAGCAAATAATAGATGTGCTATGATGATGATTTGCTTTAGAGCACTTTCAGATAAGGCCTTTATCCCACCTCTGCCTTATCTCATTTGCTGTATTTTATAAGGGCTTCAAATGCCACCATTCCCGAATCACAATCTTTCTTTGTTGTTTCACCACTGCTTCCATCTCTCCCCCCCACCCAAATCACATTTAATCTCTTCAGTAGAAGAAGATGGAATAGCTGCATAATGTCTTCTCATTGCTTGTGTGAAGCCCCCTCCCCCTCTGTAAATCATTTGAGATAACTTTACTGTACAGAAGAAGAAGAAAAAAACAACAGCTTGGTTATTCCTCTGCTTTTGTACCTCACTCTGCAGAATCATGACCGCATGATTAAAATGGTGATGCTCCAGAGTAGCAGAGGTTCCGTACAGCTGAGCCAAAGCAGATCCAATTCTGAAAACAAATGCAATAGACACAAAGGATTAACGCCAATTATTTCAGGATATGCTCCTGGAAATTTCAAATGGTAAGAGGACTGCTGTCCAGAAGTGGCAGGTGGCATCCACTGGGCCAGGCAAAGAAGGGTGGGCAACCTGATTCTGGTTTTGTCCCCATCTTCCCCTTTCCAAAGAGGGTGCCTTCCCGAGAGGGATCTTGTTGGGTGTGCTCCAGAACATTGAGCACACTCCCTGGAAGGTGGCCTGTGATCATGACACCATCACCCCACCCAGGAACCTTTCTAATCTGTCTTGAGAACCATAGGCCTTGTTGGAAGGAGCTGTTTGTTATCAAGCTTTTCCCTTCCAACTCTGAAATGATTTCAGACAATTTAATCTCTGGACTGTTACTTCTAATCTCATCAGTTTACCACTAGAAGGACTGGCAGTTCATTCCTTTGGTAAACAAACATGGAGGACATGCAGCAGACCCATCATCTGGAGCAAATGCTGTAAAGAAATTATGAACATTTCCATACACTAAGCAATGAATAACAGCTTTGTCTTGTTTTTTGTTTGTTTTTTTGCATTGGGTTGGAATATGGCTGCACTGGCCAAGAAGACCCCCATTTATGAAAACACCTGCTCCCTGTTGAATGCAACTGGTTATGTTTCTATATTACTGCCTGGACGTTCACAGAATCACAGCGTGGGCCTAAGAATGACAGATGGGGAAATTTTTAACAAATGTTTTTCATTTTGGCAAATGCAGATACGTAATTGGAGAAGATGATCCAACCCATTGGACATCCTCACTCTGTTCCATAGTTTTATGCTACACAGAAATTCCCACTGGGCAGAACAAATCAACGGCATGATACAAAGGTGATTTAAAGGAAATATAAAAGTACATTTGTTGTGGTGGGACAGGGAATTCTTAAGATGGATAGTCTCTTTTAAGCATGCAAATACTTCGCTGTGCACGGCAACTTGAGATTAATGCTTTCTTTTGCAACGTGGAACATCCACAAACAGCAGAGAAAAATAAAGTGGTAAGAATGAGGAACCCTACTTGGCTTGAAAGGCATTGTTGGTTCCCCGGTGGTCAAGGTCATGGCATAGACATCCCACAATCAGAGCTAAAATTTCAGTTTCGGTCAGAATCTCCTGAAATCCTGCTGTCTGAAACGAGAAGGGAAAAAATATACAGAGGTGAGATCAATAAATGGAGACATCCGTAGTGCTTTTTATAATTACAGAAAAAGAACGTTTGGGCAGAAACGCAGAAATAGGCTTAATAGGTGCTAAACTCGATCTGCTGTTGTGATTAAAGGTGCAGCAATAGCTAGCTCATATGTGCAAGACAGAAACAAAGAAAATTTGTAGCTACGGTAGCTCCAAGGCAATCTTCACAGTATTGCCAAACTACAATTTTATAATTCCTCTGTTTTGCCAGATATTGTGCTGCATCATCGATGCTCAAAGAAGCCAGTTGGCAAAGACCTGCAACACCCATTTGGGTCTCCTATTGGTGCCTAAACCATCAGAACAGGATGGCTTCCATCTGGTATAGCCATGGGTTACACAGGAGCACATTAAATATGTCCTAACCTTTAAAACCTAGACAGCATCTTAAAAAGCAGAGACATCACCTTGCCAACAAAAGTTCGCATAGTCAAAGCTATGGTTTTCCCTGCAGTGATGTATGGAAGTGAGAGCTGGACCATAAAGAAAGCTGACCGCCGAAGAATTGATGCCTTTGAATTGTGGTGCTGGAGGAGGCTCTTGAGAGTCCCCTGGACTGCAAGGAGAACAAACCTATCCGTTCTGAAGGAAATCAACCCTGAGTGCTCACTGGAAGGACAGATCCTGAAGCTGAGGCTCCAATATTTTGGCCATCTCACGAGAAGAGAAGACTCCCAGGAAAAGGCGCTGATGTTGGGAAAGTGTGAAGGCAAGAGGAGAAGGGGATGACAGAGAACGAGATGGTTGGGCAGAGTCATCGAAGTGACCAACATGAATTTGACCAAACTCCGGGAGGCAGTGGAAGATGCACTAGAGGATTGTGGGAGGAACACTTATCCCTTATGGGGGTCCCACAGAGCACCCCAAAACACTGAGGAGCTATCATGGCCTCTGGCAGGACTGGGGCTGTGCAGCCCTGTACTGAGTGGGAGGTGCAGCCAGGCGGGTCACCATAACTTGGGGGGTTAGGGGACAGAAGGGGGTAGGAGATGCAAGGGCCATTCCAACTCATACCTTGTAGGGAAAATACCATGTTGTAAAAATGGTTTTCCCAGGGAGAGACTCATCCATTGCACTTTGGGTGTGCTGTTGACCCCTGTGATTTTCCCAAATGTGGGGAACTCAACTACATAATTTGTGTTAGTGGGGGCATTATGTTTGTGATTTCTCTGTTTTTTTAAAAAATAATCTCTTTACCCTTTGGTTCCTGGCTGTTTTCACCATCCTCTACCATTTAAATTTGTAGCCATAGTCCCATTGGTGATGCTTTGCAAGATGGTTCCCCCCCCCCGAAACACAGCAGCATACATTTTCTCCCCCACTTTTCTGGAATAAAAAAGTAGGTCTTATGTAATTAATGTGTTCCTATTGGGGGGAAAACTGCCTTGCGAAACAGGGTAAAAAAACCCTGTCTTGCGAGGAAAGGACCCAAATATCGTCCAGCGAAAGCTGCCCATAGGAACAATCGTTTTGTGAAGGACATCGCTCAAAAAAAGCCAGCATCTAGTGAATTCCTCGTTTTGCATGGCAATCATCTAGCAAGGCACCACCATATTTAAAATCTTAAAAGATGACACTGTTAGGGGGCAACACTCAATATGCCAGCAAGTTTGGAAAACTCAGCAGTGTTTTCAAGTCCCTATACAGGACTACATTGGGAGGGTGACACGCCTACCCACAAGCGTGACATGCCCACCATGCGTGCATGCGGGGGGAACAGAGGTCTGTGTCCATGGCCCAGTCCAAGGAAGCCCATGGACTGGCACTGGGCCGCAGACCTGGGAATGTGCACCCCTGATTTAGAGGATAAGACGGTGAAGGAGGTGATGGTAAAATGGGCACAAAACTTTGGATATAATATTGATATTGATGAATGGACTAAAATGTGGAAAGATAACTGGAAAATGATTAAGCCAGTTAATCATACAATAAACATACTGAAAATATTTCATTGATGGCATTTCACTCTGGTAAGACTGGCAAAAATATCAGAAGGGATCAGTAATGTTTGTTGGAAATGTAAAAAAAAATCCAGGGACTTATTATCATGTATGGTGGTCATGTGAAAAAACAAACAAAAAAAGACCTGGTCACAGGTTTGGGAAATGTCACAAGAGATTGTTCAGCAAAAATTAAGTTTCAAACCTGAAATGTTATTACTGAATATAATGCCAGAAATTATTGATAAGAAAATAAAATATAGTTCTACTCTGTATATATTTACTGCAGCTAGGTTACTCTGGGCCCAAAAATGGAAGAACGGAGAAATACTAATAATGGAATAGCTACCGTGTTTCCCTGAAGATAAGACAGAGTCTTATATTAATTTTTGCTCCAAAAATGCATTAGGGCTTATTTTCAGGGGATGTTTTATTTTTTTCATGTACAACAAGCTACATTTATTCATATACAATCATGTCATCTTCTGGTTGCTGCACAAGGGTGGAGGGCGGGGTTTCACTTAACTGGGACTTATTTTTGGGGTAGGGCTTATATTACGAGCATCCTGAAAAATCATACTAGGGCTTATTTTCAGGTTAGGTCTTACTTTTGGGAAAACAGGGTATTAAAGAAGCTATTGGTCACTGCAGAACTAGATATGCTTTCAGAGGCACTATGGCAGGGGTGTCCAACCTTTCACCTTCCCTGGGCCACATTAGAAGATGAACATTTGGTTTGGGCTGCACATAAATTTGGTTTGGGCTGCATGGGAGGGGGCAGCCCTACCCATTCTCCACAGCCCCGCTCCAAGCCCGCTTACCAGCAGCTGCAATCTCAGACAGCAGAGGCTGCCAGCTTTGACTCCGGTGGCTTTATGGGGCCAGGAGGGGATCCACCTATTGACGGGGACGGCACATTGCAGTCACGCAGCCCCCCTCTCCCCTCCCACTCCTTCCTTCCTTCCCTCTTTCCCCCCCCACCGTTGTGACATGCCCCGGCCACATTCCAGCCGCAAGCGCCGGCAGTGTAACTTGAAACTTTGGAATTTCTTTTTTTAAAAAAATTGCACTGGGCCGCATTATGAGCCGACCTGGGCCGCATGAGGCCCTCGGGCCGCAGGTTGGACAAGCCTGCACTATGGGATCAACCGAGACACTCTGTAAAGGAAAGCTGGAATCTGATACGTAATTGGGCCCAAGAAAAGTCAGGAATTTAGGGGAAGAATTAGTTTATGGTGAATCAGTGCTCACTAGAATCCTTTCAGATGACCAGATGATGGCGAAATCTCTGATCTATAGGTGTAGCAGGGATGTTTCGTTTTGTTGTCATTACTGTTAGGCTTTAGTTTTCTGTTCTGTTTGTTGGTATGTATGAATAAAAATAATAATTTTCAAAAAACAAAACAAAACAAAAAAAACCCAAACATTTAAGTGGGTAAAGGGAAATAGTATAGATGATACTAGAACAGAATTTATTCTGCCAGAGAATAAATGGCCTTACCACACAACAACTAGAGTCTAAAATGAGTTACAGAGGCCATTCTTTCAGATGAGGAAATGAATTGCATCATACCTCATCTGCTATGCATTTTGTTATTAGCCCTGTAGATTTATGTTTAATTATTTTCACTATCTTTTAATTGTGAAAGAAAAGAGAAAGAAACACAATCAATTTTAAAAATGATATTGACGTTGATTCTCCTGTCAAAATTCTTTACTCACATAAGTAGTCTCATTATAATCAATGAGAGCAGTCATGTAAGTTAAAATGATGGATGACTAAGTTGCGGCTCCGGGTCTGTAGCTCTCTGAGGCCAAGCCTTAGAGGAGTAACAGAATAAATCACCGAACATATGAAAGGACTGCAGAGCTGAGAAGTTCTTTTAAAACTTCCAGGCTGCATTCATGGCATGACCCACAGACGAGACTAAAACCTTCACCGGGCAGGAATGCAGCTTAGGGGGCCAAATCTCCACCTTTGAAAATTACCTGTGCCTCTTTGCTCCCTGTAAAAGAATGTGGGAGTTCTTTTCAGTGCCAGAAATGTATGATTTGTCCTAATAGTTCAGTTCACGCTAGGTCACAGAGAGATGACGGGCTGTGCTGCACAAGGCCACAGGTCTGTTCAACACAGAGTGGTGAGCGATGCTACAAATTAAGCCCCAATGCCACCACCACATTTATTGTCTGTAAAAAAGGTAACGGAGCTGGGCTGTATAAACCTCTTTTCCCCTTTCTGTGTGACGTAGTAACCCCAAGCGTACAGCAGTTATGAGAGGAAAAGTAGATCCATTTTGTCGGCACAGCCCAAAGCCTTCTGTCTTTCTCCTTTCCCCCCCTCCCCATTACTTTTTTCCCATTTGTATCATATATTTTTGGGTTGTAAAACGATGTGTTGTTTTAAACGGCCGTACGTAAACTATTCCGGAAGGCTTTTTGATTGAGGAGCAGAAGGATAATACAAGGCATCAGTAAATCTTTTGCCCCTTTGTGTAAACTGGTACAGGGAAGTCTTCTATTAACTATTTTATCTTTCCTTTAGGCTAAGTGGTTTCATCCTTTGGAGTGTTCTAAACCCAGGAACCCTAATATGGACAAAATGGATAGCTCAGTGAGTTTGGTATCTGTCCCCAGAAGCAGGGGACGGTAAACCACTTCCGAATATTCCCTACCTAAAAAACCCTGATGAGGGTCACCTAAGTCAGAACTGACTCGAAGGCAGGTGATGTTTATAATTAACAAAAGACTCTGTCCTCTGTTTGCTGACTCACAAGAAGGGAGCAGAGCAGGGGCTCCATGTGCAGACAAAAGGCTTAGGTCAGCCTCTGAAGCTGATAGTGCTCTTCAGTGGGAGACAAGGCGCTCAGACTGAAAGGCTGAGGTGCTAATCATCTACCATAGGTCAGAAATGTGTCTCATTCAGATTTTTTAAAAATTAAAAAATAACTAAAACTAATAGTAAAGTAAAAATCTGCTTTTAAAATTTGTGATTATAGT